CACCTGTCATCACCCACCCCGGCCACCTCCTCGCGCCGCGCGCCGAGGTGGCGGGTAGCGAGCCCTAGGTTCCGTTGCGTGCCACCTACTACAACATCCTCCACGCCCCCGCTTTTCCGCCCCCGGACCCAAGCACGGGTCGCCGAAAACAAGTACACGCACATCGCACGGCCAGGCCCAGCCGGACCTGACCCGAGCCTGAGACGGAGGAGCAGTGGTGACGCGACGCCGTGGTGGTGGCGGGAGGAGGATGGGCGGCGGCAGCCTGGCCATCGTGGAGAAGAAGCCGCCTTTCGGGGGCGGGGGCGCGGGGGGCTGCGCCGGCGGCGTGCTGTTCCACCTCCTGGACTGGCACCGCCGGCTCGCGCGCAAGCGCCGCCTCTTCTCCCCGCGCCGCCTGCTGCCATCCGCCGTCCGCAGCTCCTCGCTCCGCAGGCTCGCGCCGCCGCCGCCGCCCTCTCCGGCGGCCCCGCAGCCCCCTCGTCACGCGCCGAGGGCGGCCGCCGGAGCCGACGGGAAGGCCGCTGCCGCCCCTCCCGGCGTCGTCGCGCGCCTCATGGGCCTCGAGTCCTGGCCCGCCGCCCCCGGCGCGGTGCCGCCCAGGCCGCAGAAGCAGAGGAAGGTGGAGCCGGCGGCGTCGGCGGGGGGAGGAGACAGCGAGCCGGCGCCGGTGGTGGTGATGCTGCCGCCGAGCCGGCGCCCGCCCGCGCCCGGGTCGCCCACGCACGCGCCGCGGAGCCACCACAGCGCCGACCTGCCGGCGAGGAGCCCCAGGCGGAGCCGCCTCGCGCACGCCGCCGCGTCGGGGCTGCTGGACCCGGGCGCGCGCGGGAGCTCGAGGGCCGGCGCCAGGCTGCAGGCCGTCGCGTACGCCTGCTCCTCGCCGCAGCACCGCGGCCATCCCGGCGCCTCGCAGCAGAGCTGGGGCACGCTCGAGCTCGACGACTTCCTGTCTCGCTCCGATAGCCTGTCGTTGGAGCGTCGTGCGCCTCCTCCTCCTACGGTGGATGCAGAACAACAGGACAATGCCGTCGGTTCCCGCTGCTGGCAGGAGACAGACTCCATGAACACCATGAGCAGCACTGCTGCTGCAGGCTCAGTGACAAGCGCTAGCCATACCATTGTGGTACCAAGAGTGGATTCCTACGATGCACACATGAGCAGAGGCAGCAGCTCTGATGTGGATGCAATGCAAAGAGATTATAGGGCAAGAGCTGGGGGAATGGGCAGTTATGCTGGGGTCAGATCGAGCAATGCCGGTGCCGGTGCCGGCGCAAGAACTGGTGAACAGAGGATGTTGCGCAAACGGGGAGCCTTGTCTAGGCCAGATGTTCCAAGGGCTGCTGGGTCTGGTAACTTGGCAAGTTCAACGCGTTCCATCGGCAATGCTCGTGAATCGGCACCTGCTACTAGTAGAAGGGCAGCACACAATTCTGGTAGTAGTAGTATGAGGGTGCCACACAATTCTGGTCCGAAGAGGGAGTTGATGAGTTCGACCAGACCGCAAAGAAGCACACTCAGAGAGGTGATCGACCGAAATGGGTCGGCGTCCACGAGTCGGGATACAAGCAATGCATCTGGGCAGAGGAGAGGATTACGCAAGAAAATCGACCGGGGTACCGCGGCCAGTAGTAACAGAGGAGGTCGGAACACAGTTGCATTTGCCTCTGGTTCATCAGCGAGACCGGAATCCAGGGCTTCATCAGATGGCAAAGTTTCAGAGAACAGAGGGCTCCTAAGCACACACTCCGATACCAGTTGTGCAAGAATGCCGGTGGTCGCTGCCAAATGTTCTGAAGCTGAACCTTGTGCCGTGAGCGCCACGTCTGAGAAAGAGGAATTTAGGAGACTGCTGAAAGCAAAGGTGAGCGAGCTTGGCCTGTCAGATAGGGTTGAACCAAGTGATGGTCATTCGGCAAACTTGACTGTGTCGGTGCTCCAAGAGCTCATTTCTGCCCTTACTAATGACACAAACACCTCAGCATCCCAAAGTAGTAACTATTCGGATTCATCAGCTCCTCTGAATAATGCCGAGACTGTATACGATTCCAATGATCAATCACCTGACTTTCGCAAGAGTTATCAGGTCAGTTAAATGTTACCTTGCTGCTTCATGTTGTCAACTTTTTACGTCTTATGTTTACTTCAGTAGTGTTGGTTTTGCATATCCTTAAACACTTTGTCTTATGGTAGAGACTGATGAATCCATGCCTGGTACATTTTGTGAATTTGTAGAAAATATATTATTGGATGTTGCCTGAGCTTTACTGAAGTAATTGTATACCAACTGGGATGACCTGCATTCATTGTACTGTGGTCAGTGGTCACACTTTTTTTTGTCTTGCTGACTTTTGAAATTTGAAAACATTCTTTTGTTCTAGTTCCAGGGTGACCAAGGGGCCGATTCTTCCGCCACATGCACAAACGATGAGCCCAATCAGCCGAGCCCAACATCAGTCCTCGAAGCATGCTTCTCAAATGATGCTTCCTCCTCAGGAAGTCCAACTGAAAAGATCGGTAAACATTTTTGTATCATCTTTAATGTTTGTACTAGAATGTAAGGATACTTTGTAGCTAGTAACACCAGCAAAGGAGTAGTTATCTACAAAGATTGTTTGAAAGGCCTTTTCTGAACGGAAATGGTGCTCTAGAAAATAAACTTCCCCCTTTATTTGTTTACTCAACTTCTGTCGCTCATCTGAAGTAGGAATATATGGTGGCGAAACCTTAAATGAATAGCTATGTTTTGCGTAGAACGCATCTGGCAACAAAATCAATTGCTTTAGTGCACGTCTTGATACTGTATCGAGGTATGCATCATGATGAGTAGCACTGGAAGCAACAAATAATTTACATGTATCGCTGATATTTGAACTATTATAACAGTGTTATCTTATAATATATTCTAGTTAAATTTGCTCGGCCTAAATTAACATTTCTTAGAGAGAGAGAAGCTTAAAACAATTTTAATTTACAGACTGGATTAAATTAGCAGGTTTTGACGTGTGTGATGGAGTAGAGTATGATGGTAATGCATGGTTTCTTCTTTTGTCTGCAGAGAGTACAGAATTCTTTATTTCAATGGAGCACAAAATGGAAGATCTCTTCAATCTTGAGTCTGACATTGTTGACTTGTCCATGTCCATCGACACAACAAAGACTGATGATCATGTCAGCAATGCTGAAACACCATGTGTTCAAAGTTCTCCAGAGCATGATTTTGAGTTCCTAGAAGGCAGGCTCCACGGCATCGGAGAGGCCATTGCAAATGCTGAGCTGCTTCTGGACAGCAGCCTCTTCTGCGGCACACCGTCAAGCCTATCACTCCATTCTTTCCTCGTCGAGATGCTGGAGACCGTCGAAGCCGTCTTCGGCGTTGGATCGGAGAGCAGCTTCGGCTTCAAGGAAGAGAACAACTGCCAACGCACCAACTTCCTGTTCGACTGCATTGTCGAATCGCTGGACTCGAAGTTCCGCGATTTCGGGAAATGCGGGTACAAGGCTTTGTTGCGAATGCCCCTCACCCTGAGCAAAGACCTGCTGAAGAGGGAGATATCCGAAGAGATCGGCAGCTGGAGCGATGTTTCGTCGGACCGGGCCGCCGAGAAGGAGCTGGACCAGGTGGCGGCGGCGAGGTGCGACGCGTGCCGGACCGAGGCGTTCGACATCAGCCTCGCCATCGAGGACGACATACTCGAGGCCCTCGTCGGCGAGTTCGCCTTCGACCAATGCTGCTGAAAGTGTGGAAGTGCACTGCTTGGCATGGCACTGATCACGCATGAATAACACTCTACAGATATGTACTCTATTCCTCCGCGTGAGATTTTGTACAGCGTCATGTAGTAATATGGACGCCCCCCCGCCCCCCCTGGTTATTTTCCCTTTTGTGTGCTACTGTCTAACTGAAACGTGGTAAAAGTGTATGCACTGTTCTCTTTTCTTTTACCTTCAGGGGCGTTTCCTGCCGTTTCACTGAATAATGCAAGGTTCTTTTATGCTACGGCTGTAGTACATCCAAAAGGAAAAAAAAAACTTATTTTCTTTAGTGATATTAAATATTTTTGTGCAAAAAAGTAACGCAATTCTCCACTGAGCCCATTGACCTAGGTACCGAGTCTGTTATGCGTACGTCTTTTCGGATTTTTTATTTGTTTGTGGACAACAAAATTGCAAGCATGAGAAAAGAGGATCATTCCATTTTGAACACGCCCATCTTTCTCATATGGCCTCTCCGAATTCCCGATTCCTGTTCGGCAAATCTGGCCTCTGAGAAACGAGAACACCTTTGTGTCAAACGCTTTGAACCTTTCCGGCATCATGCCGTTGTGATCCGTGAACGAGCTCCCACTGAGTGAGCGAGTTGGAATTTTCAATAGTACATTTCCTGGACTTGCTCGAGTTGGTTCAAGTAGAACAACTGCGCAGGAAACAGGCGATGATCAGAGAGAACAAAACGGCGCCGGTTCTCGAAGCAGAGCAGAGCAGAGCAGATGAGAGCATTCTCTGCATCCGGAAAAGCGCTCCTCGATGCACTTTTTGGTTTTAACAATGGGAGATGAGGCAGCCGCGCCTTGAGAGAAACGCTCTTATCACACATTGTTTACGGCCAACTTTCCCACGATTTGCTCTCTTCTTCTTCTTGATTTTTAAATGAACTCATATAAACAACTGAACTCGAACGGAGATTATGAATCTGTGATGCGTGGTGTGGCGTGCTGCCATGACTGAAGAATACTACTAGCACCAAATACAGATTTGAACTTGGGCAACATTTATCAACACCACAGCAAGTGAACAGCACGGAATTTTGGGTAAATTCAGACACACGAGTGAACATGATACTAGAACACTACAACAACACTGCGAGGAAGCAAGAATAAACACACTGTAACCGAAGGAACTGCAGCCAAGATAGCTAACGACAATTCTACCAATGAAGAGCAAGAAACGAAGGCGAAATGCAGAGCAGACAGAGTCGTCCATGGATCCGGCCGGCCGGCCTAGAGGAGGCGCCGCTGCTGCATCCTCATCTCCTCGTAGAACCTCTCGATGAACCGCTCCGCGCGGCCGTCCACCTCCTCGTCCCCCTCGAACTCCACCTCCACTTCCTCCTCCTCCTCGCCGTCGCACGCTTCCTCCTCGCCGTCGTCGTCAACCGACCGCTCGTCCTGCAGAGCCCGAGGCAGGGGCAGCAGCCCGTCGAGCACGGCGACGTCGATCCCGCCGTCGCCGTCGAAGCCGCACCCGCCGCCGCAGAGGAGCGCGGCGAGGACCGTCCTGGCCCGGCTCCTCCGCTTGGCGCGCCACGCGGAGACGCCGGGCGGGCGGGGCAGGAGCAGCGGGGAGCCGGAGGGCGAGAACTGGTACTCGCCGACGTAGGCGTAGTTGTAGTGGCGCAGGCGGCGCGCGCGGCGCTTCTTGAAGAGGAGCAGGGTCCGCGCCGCCCTGGCCTTGGAGAGCGGGGTGAGCGGCAGGGAGAGGATGGCCATGGCCCTGCCGAGGATGCGGGGCGCGGAGGAGGACCTCGGCATGGCCGGCCGGGTTCTTGGCTTGGTTTCCCTCTCTTTGTCACATTCAAAACGGGCCAAGGTGGCGGATACGCACAGTGATGGTGGTGGCGATGGTTGCTGCCTGTGCAGGTGGGGTGGTTTTATGGGCTCGTGGTCGGGCTCGGGCTAGCCGTTCGTCCGATCGTGCGTGCGTGCGTGCGTGCGTACAGGAAAGCTTTGCGTCGCGTCTTAAAGCGCCTTTACAGTTTGCATCTCGGGGTTGCGACGAAATCGAAATCTGCACGCTCATTAGTATTGCCTGACGACATCTCTCTGATTTCTTGGCGTACGCACGATGGATCAGTGGGATCTTAATGCGAAGACAGTAGGATATGGTCTTGTGGAGTACAGCGGCAGTGTAAATGTGTACGTGCGTGTGATTTTCCCGGGCGACCATCACGGCCGGGGTCGTATACCGCGTAGCCTTTTTCGTCCCCGTTCCGTGCTTGCATACGGGTTAGGGTTACGGTGATGAAATGAACTAGTAATGCGTGCGTGCGTGTGATTGCACCAGCTTAATTCCGGTCGTGGGGTTCAAGGGCGGATTACGCGCGCTTGGTTGGGTGGGCAACGGCGCGCTCCGGGAGAGTCAGGAGATGGAGCGGAGGCGGTCGGGCTCTCGTGGTGGTCGTGGGCGTGGTGGTGCTCGTGGGGTCGCAGCCTGGAAAGCGTCCTACTCCGCCGTGCCCAGGCCGGTGGCTCTGAGCTGGCCGGCCGTCCGACCGACCCCTTTTCGAACCGAGCTAGCCGTTGCCGTTGGCGCCTCTCGGGTCCCAAAGCGAACCTAGCCCCATGCCGCTCGCGTCACGGCCACCATCCCCAACTTTCTGGCCTTGGCCGCTTGACCGGACCTGAGGAGAGACGCCATTTATTTTCAGATCCCAGCACGCGCGTACGCGTACGTTTTTTTTTTTTTTTGAACAAAGAGGGGCACCAGAGGCACCAATATTCCATTCATCCCATAGACATTGTACAACAGTGATTACATAGCCCTGTGAGCAAAGAGTTTGGAAGATGGACTCAACTGGACAGCGGCTATTTCTATGAGAAGAATTAGTACAACTAAAGATAGGCCTAGACAAAGATTGTCTAATTGCCTGATGAGCACAGTTATGCGCTACCCCATTTATATCTCTTTTAATATGATACACTGCATGGGATGGAAATTTTACTATTTTGTGGAAATCTGCAAATTGCACTCTAATCTCCCAAGGGACCTGCGGATTCTGTAAAGAGGAGGCCACAACTGTTTTTGCCAGTGTCAAGCTGTCTGTTAAGAATGTGACTTGTTGGATCTGTAGTAAGCTGGCCACCTTCCCTGCTAAGTTGAGAGCTGCAGCTTCAGCTTGTAAGACAGTTGGAGTCACCGGCATGGATGCTTGTATCAACACAGTATCAATGTGATGCAAATTCTGAAGTTTACAAAATACACTCCTATTCCTGTCACCTCTTGTGCTTGAGATCCTGGAATTTTCTTGATTTTCCATGCTGCATCCGAGAAAATCTTGGGACCTGTAATTTGTAGACCAGACTTAAGTGTTTCTCCTTGCTCTGGAACAGAAGGCGCTCCTTGTTCATCAACCTGCAAAGCGGAAAAATCAGCAGTAATGTTGTTGCACGGTTTTAGTTGTTGCTGCAGCGCCAACTGAGGCATGTCCAACATCTCCATATTTTGTCTAATTGCTTGTGCCATGTGATGAACTTGGTGTGGGCTGCCTGGCTTCCTATCAAAAAGATTGTCATTCCTGAATTTCCATATGCACCACATAAAGGTAAGGATGTTTGGCAAGGATGCATGTGGATGATTCATATTTAGGAACGTTATAAGAAGCTGAGCGAGAGAGTTACAGTTTAGAACTAGAATACCAGAATGAATAAACCAAGGAGCAGTGAACCAAGCGGCTCTAGCAAAATTGCATGTAAAGAATAAATGGATATCATCCTCTTCCATGCCGCATCTAGAGCATAGTTTACTGATGTGTTTAGAGTACTTCCCTACTCTTGCCCCCGTTGGCATTGCCTTCCTTAGTAATCTCCATTCAAAGGCCTGGACTCCTGGAGTTATTTGTTTGTTTTTCTAAATTTGATTTAGCAGTTGTATAGCGTGAGGATGCACCTGTCGCGGTCTTGGCTCTTCATGTTCCTGCAAATATTGAAGACATGCACGGTATGCACTTTTAGAATTGCATTTACCCGACGGCGTTAATTTTCAACAGAGGATGTCATTCTCCTGAGATTGAATAATGTCCGTGCTCTTGATAATGGAAGCCATGGGCTGTTGGAACAGTGTGTCAATTAGCTGATTGTCCCATGCTTCGGCAGCCTGCTAAATTCGGCCGCTCGATCCGCATTCACTCCGGTCCGTCGGGTGGTTGTGGTTCGTTCGTTCTACACCTGCCACTGGACTGGATTTGCATCTACTGACTAACGTTCACCTTATACCTACAGTACGACGGTGCGAATACGCGCGGCAATACGGCCGCCACCCGCATATACTACTGTACAATACTGCTCCCTCCTTTCCGGTTTATAAGGCTCAATTCAAAAATCTCACCAACCAAGGTAGATGGTGAGTGGTGGAATACTTTTTGTAGTTTGCAAAAGCACCCAATTAATATTTTTGTTTTCCTCAAAAAAGTATGTTTACCAATGCATTAATTGCAATGCATGCATGCATAAATTACATGTATTGGTCAATTTTCTCTTAATACTTGCATGCAATGATTTAATGCAATTTAGAATCTAAACATGTGATGGGAAACAACTAAATTAAGCCTTATAAAATGGAAAAACTAAAATTTTAAAATAAGCCCTATAAACCGAAAAGGAGGGAGTACATAGTACGAGCACTACTAGGGCAGATCGACGTGAGCAGGAGGTCCATCGGTTCGTTCGTCAAAATGCGTGCACCAGCGGGAGGAGCGTCCGTTTCCATTACTCGATACCCAAGCCCTTTTTTTTTCTTCTCCACTCCTGGATTTGGCTGTGTGCAGGTGCGAGCTACACCTTTTTTTTTGGAGAGTACGCATAACATGCGAGCTAGTACAAGACGCCGTTTGCTTTTATTCGGATGGATCTATGCGTGTCGTCCATTGGTGGTTGTTTTCTTTGACTAGTGTGCCCGTGGACATTTACTCTGACCGGCGTCCGCGCCAGCAGCATTCCTAGCTTTTTTTTTGCGGGTCAAAAAAGAAGAAGTTAGTTTGATAGTTCCTAGGCAATGCGTGCGTGTGTGGCTAGGGATGTACGCAATAAATGACATCTGCAATTCTGTTTAGTTAGTTTTTTCCAACTTGATAGTTCATTTTTCTCAAACAAACAGAAAACCTTTTTGAATTATCATATCATAAATGAACTTTAAACAGGATTAAACGGGACCCGGTTTACATCGCTTTGTGTCGCTGTGGCTGTGGCTGTGGGCAAAGACAAACCACAAGGGCCGGGTAGGTAATGAAACGCTTTCTTGGCGAAATTCGAGAGATTGTAGCACAACCATAATCTATGAACGTTCATCATAAAAAACAAAGTGCCCTTCTCTTTAAAGTGAACTTTCAGGATGCTTAGGGCATGGCCAATGGTCCACCCTGGACAGTTGCCTCACGGTTTCCACGTAAGATACAAGCCTCCGTGGACAAGTCTGAGCAAAAAGGCAGCATCTTGCAGAGTAAGGTGTAGCTTGCAGAAGAACCAGCTGCTTCATAGAAAAAGTGTGGTCCTTGTAGGAAAAGAACGAGAGAGAAAGAGAGTACATGCGCCCAAATTTCCTTTACGTACTCCCATCGAGGCTGCCATATGACATCATCCGCATTGGATGAATTTTTTTTTATGCTATAGCCTGAGCTGATGTGGTACTTGAGACCACCACTAGGTGATGCCTCCATTGTACATGCCCTTATGGAAAAATTATTATTTGCCAAATGTTGAAGCTACAGAATTTTCATGATCAATGATGTGATGGGATTATGCATACTATGCGTGGGGGTCATGTGGGGTTAAGGTTTTTTATAGGTACAACACGCTTCATTGATCATTCAGTAACCATGTTAAAATTTCTACGCTCTTACTTTTTGAAGAAAAGAAGAGTTTCTCCCCTCCAATTTCCATTAAAGAAAACATACAGTATTGGCTACAAGACCACAACCAACCTACTAAAAGAAAAAAGAGCACAAAGCACCAAACTAAGGGGCAAACCTTGGCTATACCCAAGTTTTGTCACCAGCCGAAGCAACATAACAGACTAAACATAAACATCCCCACTCACCAGGTAGCACAGGCGCACATCCTGGGAGTTAAAGAGTGAAACATCAACAAAAGTTCAGAGGCAACACCAGAAACCTTGGAACCAGTTATATTACAAAATGCAAAAGAAACAGCGGCCCAAAAGCAACAAGAATACTGCAAAGAAGATCAGCGCGCCAGAGAAGCAACCTAAGCCTTCTCAACCATCAAGCCTCGACACATTCAACCTCCATCCCTGCAAAGCCTTGAAAACATCACTTGCTACTCGTTCTAGTAGTTTTGAGCTCCAGCACCCCTTTGTTTTGTTCCTTTGTCGGTAAAATATACCATCCCATTATCCAATAGCACATAATCTAGATCAAAGTCATGGGATCATTATAAATTTTATTATCAAAAATAATCCCGTTTCTGCATTTCCACATACTACAAAAGAAGGCAGTGATCCCAGCGAGGTCCGGTTTTTTATCTGCCTTACGAATCCAATTCCCAAAACATTCTTCAATTGAAGAGGGAATAGACCGCAAACCAAAAGTACATTTCAACATACAGCAAATTAGAGACGCAACAGAGCAAGAAAACCATAAAATGATTCACAGTTTGTTCCTTGCCACAAAAAACACATTCTTTTGTACCTCTCCAGCCTCTTTTCAACCAAAAGTCTTTGCTTAAAACACTTTTTGATTATCCATCCACGAAAAGACTTAATTTTGGTAGGGACTTTCACTTTTCACAATTTTTTTGTG